CTTAATTAAACAAAAGAAGGTGAGAAATTCGGGATAAAATCGCATGCGCAGTGGAATCGATTCTTAAACTATGAAAAGGCTTATTCAGGCACTGCCTAAAAGTGGAGCATCTATTGTTTTAGGCACAGGGAACCCAATTTAGATAAAACTGAAAGGTGAAAATGAAAAAGGGAAAACATCTTCAATTATTTTCTCATTTAACATCACGTTGACCAGTGAAAAAAAATCTAAATAACTACAGATAATTTAATACAATATCGTTTTTAGTGAAATTTACATTCCAAAACCAATTTTTAGATAATTCAGAAAATTTTTAGGACAAAACAGCTTTAAACAAAACTGTTGCAAAGTGTTAATGATGTTCAAAATATRAGCTTACTTTTACTCCTAGAGTTTTAATTCGTTTTTAAATGGAACGTATATGTGATTTTTATGATTTTCTTGTCCTAATAAATTTTTTAAAAATTCCTTTTATATCAGCTTCAATTATTTTTCAAWTTTTTTTAAAACGAAGCTTACTAGATTTTGATCTTCGAAATTTTATATGCGATTTTCCAATCTGTTGTGGAATTACAATAGTTGAAATGTTAATTATGGTTATTTCTTGCTTTATAAGTTCGTCAGCTGCATCGAGAATTCTTACGAGCGGGTGCCGATGTCATGCATACATTTACCTTTTACGCCAGCGAAGACAAGCTAAAGAACAGAGGAAATGATGCTATCAAGATCGGGGTCAGTAACTTGAACTTAAATTAACTTCTATTGGAAAAACAACTCAATATTTATAAAAAAAAAACCTTCACATGATAATACTACATGATGGTGACCCCAAGGCTAGAGCTAAAGCCGCATTTACACAAACAAAATTCACATTCCCATTGCCATTGTAAAATTTACATTTACTTGTGTGCGCAGTACAGTAGAATACCGAAACAAATATGCTCAAATAAAACTGTGGAAGGAAAAGTAGCCCGTGAATATGCATGCGAACAGTAAATGAAAGACAAGAAATACCTTGGAGTTACAAATTGGCGATCGGAAGTTTAAATGTATAGTTAAACACAACCAGCTCCGTCTGATTTTTTTCCCTCAGTGCGAAGCTATCAACCAAGCAGCATGTGACCTAGCTAGAGAGGTAGCAAACGAAGGAGGAGCTCTTGTAGCTGGCAATATTTGTTTGACAACATCATATTTTAGTGGCAAGGGAAAAGAGGCATGTCAGGCTGAGTACAAGAAGCAATTAGACGTGTTTGTCAAGAATGACGTGGATTTTCTCATTGGAGAGGTGAGATTTTATGGAATTTGGCAGCTTCTGGTCGCAATAATAATGAAAGATATTTCCGTTAAAGCCTGAAATTATTAAAGCAAAGTGCCCCCTTAAATATGACTTTTTCAATTGTATTTTTTTCAGTTGTTTTCCGAAGTCGAGGAAGCAGAGTGGGCGACAGAAGTCATGAAAGCCACGGGGAAACCAGTTGTTTGTTGTCTAACGATCTCAGCCAGTGGTGACCKKARTGGTGTGTCTKTGAAAGRCTGTACCCTACGTCTTGCTAAAGCTGGTTAGTATCTAGAATATTTGCATRTTTAGGTRMTGGYAGSMATGTTGAAAAAGAAAAGAAATYKTTTACTCTCGGAAATATATWTTTKCTCATCTRAAAAGATTGYATTGTTCCTGCCATCCAACATGGCTGCCGTCACGTGATCACCCAAAACCTTTATGTCAGTATATCGATATATTTSAAATCTATTAAGAATCTTGAAAGCAATTTTCAAACTAGTAGGTAAACTGTTACACACATTGATTGTTTCAGGTGCTGATGTCATCRGTGTCAATTGTCRCTTTGACCCTGATGTTTGCATCGAGATAGTACGTCTGATGAAAGCAGCTTTGGACGAAGCCGGGATAAAGAAACATCTCATTATCCAGCCCATAGGCTTCAAAACGCCGGAGTATTTGGGCGGGAAWRWTAWATGTGACTTTACTGACTTTCCAGAATTCCCATTCGGTAATATAACTTTTAATATCGAGAGATAACATCATTGCAGTGAAACACCGCTGTTTTCCTTAATTACAGATTCATTTACGCAGGGTTCGTTCGATTTTGTTTAGAATATTTATGAGTTCCAGTGAAGGCCAATGGAATTTCAAAGTGTATTATTGCAGGCAGGCAGGTAGGCATGAAAAAAAMCAAACAAACAAAGAAACAAAACAAAAAACAAAAAAACGGAAAGCGGTGGATACATTTCTTTTGCACCATATTTATGCCTTAATTCGTTATACTTTCAGCTTTAGAATCTCGTATTCTAACGCGATGGGACTGTCATAGATACGCTCGTGAAGCATATGA